TACTTCTTTTCAACTTCCACCCATTTTGCTTCTGGAGAAGTGCTCTTGCCCTCTGGAGATAAGTAGCACAATTCTAATACCTCTTTCACATGTCAACCACTCAAATACTTGAGGGAAACTATCATTCAACCCAATTTAGTAAACATTTATTAGGGTCAATGGATAAAAAGAAACTGTTTTCAATGGAATTGAAAACCATTAACATATATGAATGAATGCCCCATATTGTTTTTGTTTTTTGGGCAAAGCAATCAGGGTTAAATGACTTGCCCAGGGTCACATAGCTAATAAGCGTCAAGTATCTGAGGCCAAATTTGAACTTAGGTCCTCCTGACTCCGTGGCCGGTGCTCTATCCACTGGGCCACATAACTGTACCTCTTCCTCCCATATTGTTGTTCAATCATTTTTCGGTCATGTCCAATCTTCATGAATTGACCTCAGACACTTACTAGCTGCATGACTCTAGGCAAGTCACTTAGCCCTGTTTGCCTCAGTTTCCTCTTCTGTAAAATGAGCTAGAGAAGAACATGGCAAACCACTACAGCATCTTCGCCAAGAAAACCCCAAATGGGGTCATGAAGAGTCAGACATTACTGAAACTACTAACAATAACAACAGGGCAGTGGTGTCAAAGTCAAGTAGAAATAGGGGTCATTAAACCATACAAAAGGATCCCTTTAGGCCACATATTAATTTAGAAAATCATGTATTAATATTATCTTTGTTATATTATATTTTATTAATTTTGTTAAATATTTCTCAATTATATTTTATTCTGCTTTGGGCCATACTTGGGAGTCTCATGGGCTGCACCCAGCCTTTGGTTCACGTGTTTGACATCTCTCATCCAGGGGATGCAATTTTAGGTTCAGTTTAAACTCCTGGTTACTATTCAGGGAATAGTGGGACCCCAAGCTTTATATCAAAGGCTTGACCTCTTTCCTGCCAGACACCAGTTCCACAATGAACACACACAGAAAATAGCGAAGAAATCCCTTTATCCAAGTTGATAGTAAAACAGAATTCAGAAAAAGTATGCATATGAGAATATTTACCAGACAATTCATATTAATAAGTCATCCCTTTGGGAGTGAGGTAATTCAGCACAACAAAGAGAGAAAGAGAATCCAGAATCTTACCCAAAGAGGAAAATTTCCCTAAGCCTCTAGTGTAGTAAGCTGGAGATAGAGATATGATAGAGAGTGCTAGCTCTTCTCATGTTGGCATCTTCCCAGAGTCTTTCTCCCTTTGTGACCCCGAAGAGAAGTTGAAATTCCCCATGTCTTCTCTCCTGATGCTGAAGGCCAGTAGAATCCAAAAGGATTGACAAGAGCAGATTTTTCTTTTCTTCCACTCTAGTCAACAACACCCCACTCATTATGCAGGTTGTGGGCATTGAGGTGAGAGTCTCATACTAATAGGCTTTAAGGCTCAGGTTACATTATAGATGTGGTCTGACTATAGTACAACAGGAATACTTCCATCTTCATTTTGGAGTAATGCCTCACATGAAGATTGCATTGGGGCTTTTGGCTTCTAGATTAAACTATTGACTCATATTGAGCTTGCGGTCCCCTAAAATTCTCTACCTTCTTCAGAGACTTTCATCTAGCTTTGTCTCTAACATTTTTTGCTCATGAAGTTGATTTTAAAAAAAAAAACAAATATAGTTACATTCATTCTTAATGAATTTCATCTTGTTAGATTCAGACCAACATTCTAACCTGTTAAGGGTATCCTGTTAGTTTTCTCTTCTAGTTTTGTTTAGTTTCAGATTAGATAGAAAAGCCATCTATGCAAGTCATGGAGAAAAATGTTAACTAGCAGTTCCCTAAAACATTCAATGAGAGACCTCCTTCAAAGCTGACTTTGAACCATTTATGACTATTCTTTCAGTATGATCATTCAACCTTATTGTACTCTCAAAAGAAACATGAGATACACAGATTTAGAGAATCCACCCCAAATATTCACATCGCCTATTTGTGTCCAACCTGTGGTAGAACACTTTGAGCTTGTATTGGTCTAATCAGCCACAGTAGGACTCGTTGTAACTTGAGGCTAACATAGTGATATCATTTTGGTCCTCTTCAAGAATGAAGGACAACAATCAACCAACTATTTTCTGGCCCACATGTCTCCTTCTTGTCTAATAGCATGAGAGACTTTGTCAAATGCTTTGCTAAAATCCAGGTAAACTATAGTGACATCTGTCAAAAAAGAAAATGAGGCTATTGTGATGTGACATCCTAGGGTTGGTAAGTGGTATGACCTGTTCTCCACGAATCCATGATACCAATTCTTTTTCTAGATAACAACAACTATAACAGCAATAAACAACTACAACAATTATAACAACAAACTACATTAATATAGAGATCTAAGGTTTACAATGCTCCGTGTATATATTCTTTCAACTCTTAAAACAACCCTACAAAGATAGATTCTGTTCTTTTGATACAAGAAAACTGATCCCTAAAAGAGTTATGTGACTTGCTCAACGTCATAAAGCTAGTAAGTATTTGATGTGATTTGAATCTAGATCCCCTGAAGACCTCACTATCAGGCCAGCTGCTCCAGCCACGCCTCACTTTACTCCACACCATCTTCTTGCCAGGTACCTTGCCATCTTTTCAGCTCCAGAATGCCTGACCTGGTATTTAGGAGTCCCAATTAGTAAGTGTCTCCATTATTTCAGGCCAGTGATGCTAGCCAAGCTTTACTTTACTTCTTTTTACTTTTTTTTTCAAACTTTTTACTACCTTAACATCTTCTTACAAGCCTCCTTGCCACTGTGTATTCCCCTTCTCAAACTCTCACCCTCATTGTCCTGGAACCATAATCAAATCAATACTGCCCCTGCTACTAGAAAGGGTAAATCATATCCATCTTCTCCTATACTCCACTTACCATTCTTGAAAACTTCCAATTCAAAATACCAGTCCCTTGGCTACCACTCTCCCCATCTTACAGAATGTAAGCTCCTTTTGAGTAAGGATTTTTTTCATTCTCTATATTCATATATCCGGGGCAGCTAGGTGGTGAAGTGGATAGAGTGCCACTCCTGGAGTCAGGAAGACTCATCCTCCTGAGTTCAGATCCAGCCATACACACTTACTAACTGGGTGACCCTGGGCAAGCCACTTAACCTTGTTTGCCTCAGTTTCTTCATATGTCAAATGAGCTGGAGAAGGGAACGGCAAACCACTTCAGTATCTTTGTCAAGAAAACTCCAAATGGGGTCATGACTGAAATAACTGAACAATAAATGTATATCCTAGCCCCTACCATGTGATTTGTCCATTTGTAAGTGCATTTATTCTTTCATGTCTGGCTCCACGTTCACTGCTTCTATCCACTACATCACTAGGTTTTTAATCAACCAATCAAACAAGCAGTTATTAAGCACATCCTATGGCACCATACAAGGCACTGAGGGTACAGACAGGAAGAATGAAACAGTTCAAGAGGAGCTTATGTACTAATGGGAGAAGAGAAGTATACTTTCATAATGCTTTAGGGAATTTTTCCGGGAATCAAAGTCAAGATTGCTGACTTATAGTCTGCAGATTGTCTTCTCCTTCTTGCTTTGAAAATGGGGTCAACATTTGCCATGCTCTATTCCTGTGGTACTTCTTCCTTTCTTTACAATCTTTCAAAGACTACTTTCAGCAGTCACCTCTCTAAGTCTTTTCAATACTCTGAGATGTAGCACATCTGTGTCTAGTGAATTAAACTCATCAAGGGCAAATAAGTGCCTTCTCACTACAAACCTATTTACCTTGGGATTCAATGATCTGTTAGCTATTGTTGACCCGCCCTTTCCAGTACAAGGTTAATCTTTCTGGACCTTGGTTTCTTCACTAATGAAAGAGTTGGATTAGATGATCTCTGAGGTCCTTCTAACTCTAACTAATTCAATAAATATCCTCCTTGACGGAGAAAACAAACAGTGAGAATTAAACAGCTATACTTTTTTCCCCATTCTCCATTACCATGTCTCATCCAACTTGAAGAGTAATCCTATTCCTTCCTTTTTCTTCATTCCCTCGTCGTCTCCCCAACCAAACTGCTAAATGACTTTTTTGTTGTTGACCTTAGCTTTCCTTATTAGGTCATTCTGAGCTTTAGCTCTCTTGACACTAGGCAAGACACTATTTATATAACACATCTGTGAATCTATATTCTGTTACCCACCCTTGCTTGCAACCATAAAGTCTGCAAGTCAATTGTTCAGGGACTACAGCAGAGTGTAGGCCTTTTGACTTGTTGTCAGAAGATTACTTGAGAGGAAGCCAAGTTTTTTGAATGTAGAAAGGCAAAGTAACATACTAGAGCAAGTTCCCACTTGGGCAGAGGTTTGTGTTCTCTGAAATCAGTGCCAGTAATTCTAACACTCCCAAATATTTCTCCATCTTTAGCCAGAACCAACAGGCAGCATGGGATCATAGGAGGAGTGCTATATTTGGGATCAGAGTTCAAATCTTCACTCTATTGCTTGCTACCTCTGTGACCTTGGCTAAAACATTTATCCTCTTAACTGAAGCCCCTTAACTAAGGGCTTCGAATCAATGATCTCTAAGTACCTTCCAACAATAAATCCATGACCCTATACTAGAGGGCCTTTCTAATAATGGACCAGTTTCTGCACATAAATTGTAATATGTAGGGGCAGTTACATGGTGAAGTGGTTAGAGTAGTGGACATATAGACAGAAAACTTTGGGTTTACATCCTGCTTCAGTCATTTACTAGCTGTAACACTGTATACTCTGTCCCCACTTCCTGAAGGCCAGAGATGTTACATTTCACCCATCCTCCAGGGTTCTTCATTACCCTTAAGGGAGTTTGGAGGTATCTACTCCCTCTACTACTGTCTTAAGCACTTATCAATAGTGTTTCCTCAATTCTAGGAGTCCCCTGCACCCCAATTCCATTTAACCACTTAACAGATCAGTTTTTAGAAAGGAATATTTATTTCAAAGGCATAGCAAGAACAAACATATAAACACCCTTCCCTAACACCTGAGGAGCATAATCCCTGGATGCACACTTCATTCTCTGGGGAGGTGATAGGAATTAATTAGGTTCACAGCTTTGATCAATTCTTATATGGCCCAGTCCCATTAAGTTCCTAGTACAAATCCCCTCCTTGGGCTCAAGTCCCAATCACTCTGGCTTCTCAGGATTTCTTCCGCAGCAACTTCTGGCATAGAATCTTTCCTTCACTATTATCATAGTTCAAGTCTGGGTCCTGTATGGATTCCACTGCCTGCACCTAGAACTGAAAAGAACAAATGAAAGAGACTACATTAAAATCCCAAGCCCATTTCTTGAGGCTACAGGGCTTAAAAGGTGGGGGAGGGGAAGATAGTCCTTCTCACCCAGTTCAGTTTATGGCGCCCATGTTTGGATGAACAAGCCCTTTACCCTCTCTGGAAGCAAGTGGAGAGAGAGACAGACAGAGAGAGAGGTAGAGAGAGACATAAAGAGAGAGAGATCGATAGAGAGAGACTGTCCTAGTCTGGTAGTCTGGTAGTTTTAAAGCATGTTCCAGCTATGTAACCAATGGAAAGATGCTGGTCCCCATGCACATGGGAGGGAAACACAGAACATCTTTTCTTAGAAGATGGTTCCTCCATCTTAGGTGATCTAGGCATGCACAAAGCCCTGTATCAGAGCTATGTGGCTAGGCGTGTCAATTAATAGAGGTCAGTGGTATCAGAGGGCCTGTAGTGCAACTCACACACAATCCATCTCAACAAGTGAGCCTCAATTTCTTAATCTATAAAAGGAGGGTAACAATATCACTACTTCACAGGATTGTTCTAAGGATCCAATAAGATAACATTTGCAAAGCATTTTGTAAATTGTAAGGCACTAGATAATATATGTATATATTTACACACACACATATATACATATACATACATACATATACAAAGAAACCATTTTTTTACATCACAGAAAACCAAAAAATGGAAGATTGCATTCTCTAGGATTCTCTTACACATTCCTCCAAGCATATAAAAGACACAACTATAATAGAAACAGGGGAGTCCTTGGTTCTATGACCTTGAATATGTCACTTTAGCTTGATTTAGTCCTCTATGAGGGGGTTGAACTAGAGGAGGGGTTCTTAACCTGGGATCTGTGAACTTTTTTTAACAATACATTTCCTTTGCTGTATTCAATCTAATTGGTTTCCTTTGTAATCCCACATATTTTAGCTTGTAGATTTAAAGGCATAATTCTGAGGAGTCTATAAACTTTACCAGTCTCCTAGAAGAATCCAAAACACTAAAAAGTTAACGCTAAAACTAGAGTAAATACTCTTTGATAAAAAATCTCACAAAAATTATTATGCTTTAGGTCCTATCCTGTTCTATATTGTGGTTCAATTTTTTAAGTTTATAGTATATACAGTTAATTTTAGTTCAATCCTTTAAATCTCAGAGGTTCTGTCTTGTCCTGCCACATAAGAGAATATTACTTAGTCCAACCTGTCTCATCAGCAGAAATTTTACTTTCTGTTTCTTTATCTTTCTGATTCTTTACAGACCTCGCCTTTGGCACTATTTGATAAGTTTCTACTCTCATCCCTCGTTAATTCCCTGGCTCATTCCCCGAAACATTCATTCCATTCTTTCTTCTCTCTCCTTAAATCCCTAACCTGCCCTTCTTTTCTCTTCTCAGCCACATTTCCTCTGTTTCCCCATCCCACCTCAACCAATACCATTTTACTTTGTTAAGAAAAATGAAGAACACTGTCAATAAACTCTACCCCATTCATCCCTATCTTTCCTTAGTGTATCTCTTCCTTTTTTTCCTTTCCATCCTACCTTATAGTCTCAGAGGAAAAGGGGCATCTCTTCAAATCTTCTTGACCCCTGAGGGGTCTTGCTTCATATTTTCTCCTGAATCTTTGACATCTCCCTCCCAAAATGTCCCTACCTTCTTCTCTTCAAACACTCACAGGTCTCCCTATCTTAACAACAACAACAGCAATCAGTACACATTTATGAAGAACCTACTTTGTGACAGGTACTGTGCTAAGTACTAGAGATACAAAAAGAGGCAAAAGACGTCTCTGCCCTCAAGGAGCTTGCAATCTAAAGGAACAACAATAATAACAAATTTCACAACTTTTTGATGATTTCGTTAACAGACCCTTGCTTCAGGTGGTTCCTGAGGTCTTCTCTCTAAGAAATGGTGATATTTTGAGACTACTCTTGAAAAGACCAACACTTGCTGAGATGGATTGTGTGTGAGTTGCACTACAGGCACACTTTATACCCCACTTTAGCAGTGAGACCACCAGTTCTGTCATTGTTTTCAGATAATTCTTCTCTTCTTCAGGAATTGTAGCTGAATTTGTCTGGATCCCTCCTTGAAGTGCTATACTTTTCTGAGGCCCTCTGATACCACTGACCTCTAGCTTTTTTATAAGCTTCCACACAGGAAACATGAATTTTCAGGGTGACCAGGTATTGAGACATAGCTCACTGCTTGTAATACTCTGTCAGGACTGTACATGGAAGACGCTGGAATACTGGTCCCAGTCAATGCTGAAACTCCAGGGATGTTGACTGAGTCTTGACATTCCAAGGCTATAGTATCCATCCTCTAAATGATACCCATAATTTCCATAGGAAACTTTTAAGTTAACACTGCTATAACCCCAAAATAAAGTTATATCATTCAACCCACAGAGGCCATATAGGTATATGCTACAAGTCTTTCATAAAATGATCTTTAACTATGGCAAAATATAGCTCTACATCTTTGGTCCCATTCAAGTTCAAACAGTTCTCTAAGCAAATCGTTGTTAATTCAGGTGCCACACTCCTTTGGGAGGAGAGGCTCTGCCCTCCATGCCATCTTCCAACAGATTTGCCACTGCTTCTGCAATATAACCTGGCTGATTTGAGGCAGATTCTAGTCTTGAACACCCTTACCTGACTTATCAACTCCAAGTACTCAAGAGACCGTTTTTTGATGTTCAGCTATTGCCAGGTGCCCTTATATACCCTTGTCATTCATCAACCCCAAACCTGTTGGTCAGACTATGACTCTCAAAGAGACACCTATTAATAGGACTTTCTGGGTCATCTGTGCCACAGTCATTGCTTTTTGACTATTATCCCTGAAAGGCAAGGGACCTTCTCCCCATCATGTTGAAAGGTACCGAGGAACTGATGTTACCCTTCTTGTGCATTCTTTGAATGACCAATTAACCACTCGGCCTCCTCAAGCACTCTGACATTATGCTATTGGGACATTATATTTTCAGGGAGTAGAGCAACTAGGGGGCGAGGTTGACAGAGTGCCAGGCCTAGGGTCAGGAAGACTCATCTTCCTGAGTTCAAATCTGGCTTCAGACACTTACTAGATGTGTGACCCTGGGTAAGTCACTTAACCTGGTTTGTCTCAGTTTCCTCATCTGTAAAGTGAGCTTGAGCAGGAAATGTCAAACCATCCCAGTATCTCTGCCAAGAAAACCCCCAAATGGGTTCACAAAGAGTTGAACCCGACTGGAAAAAAAAAAGATTGAACAACAACAAATTTTCAGGGATTGGATGAAGTCAAATGTGGATCCCTTAAGGTTTTCCATTGTCTTCCCTCTGTTTCTCTACTTTAGTTCCCTGCCGCTCCTATATTACTTCTGTGCCATGTCTTAGCCAGGACTCAAAGGGTACCTCATTTAGTGGACACATTAGGGACATATTGGGAACACATAGGAGCCTTAGGTCACAAAGGAAAACCTTCTTGAAAAATCTATACCTTCCCATATTGAATCCACTGTTTCTACATTGACAAGCTGACAGCCTGTACTCAATTCCTAACTGCTGATAGTGTAACATGAGCTGCTATGAATGATGACATCATTGGATCATGAGCATGAGATAATGAAAAGTGATGCCCTTCCTACCAGAATGCCCTTTACTTCATCCTCAGTCATACTTCTTGCCAGAAAGAACTCAAACTTCCTCACTAGTTTCATACTCTAGCTGTCATTTTTACTTCATTTCTATTTTTATAACCTGCCTTTTATAGATAATAGTAATAATAACAGCTAGCATTTATATAACATTAAGGTTAACGAAGTGCTATATGTGTGTTATTTCATTTGATCTGCACAATAACCCGGGAGGTAGGTTATTATTGTTATCTCCATCTTACAGCTGAGGAAACAGAGGCTGAGAAAGGTTAAGTGACTTGCCCAAGGTCACACAGCTAGTCTGAGACAGGATATTTACTCACATCTTCCCGATTCCAACTCTAGCATTCTATCTACTCTGTTATCCAGCAGTATCCTTTACATCCTCTCCAAAAATATTCTAGCATGGCATCAATTAGACAATTTATCTGCATTTATTCACATCTATTACTATGTGCCAGGAACTGTACTAAGCCTTGTGGATAAAAAACAAAACAAAACAAAAAACAAATAGTCCCTGCCCTCAAGAACCTTACATTCAAAGGTGAGGCACACAGAAGACCAAACATATGAGATAAATATAGAGTAATTGGAAGGTAATCTTATAGGGGATGTTAGTAGTGGTTAGGGGAACCAGAAAAGCTTCCTGAAGGGAGTGTCACTTGAACTGAGTCTTAAAGAAAGCCATGGAATCCAGGAAGCAGGAAATCATTCCAGGCATGGGGGCAGCCTATGGAAAGGCATAGAGACAGGACATGAGGATTCATGTGAATGAGGAAAGCAAGTTGGAGTAGCCAGATTGTAGAGTTTGTGGAAGAAAGTAAAGTATAAGAAGAATGGGAAAATACAAAGGGTTTGTATTATAAAGAGCTTTAAATGTCAAACAGAAGACTTTATTTTGATCCTGGAGGTAAACAGGGATTTATTGGTGCTCACTGAGCAAGGGGGTAATGTGAGCAGACCTATGTTTCAGGAAAATTGCCTTGGTAACTAAGCGGAGGATGGTCTGGAGTAGGGAGAGAATTGAGGCAGGGAAACTAGTTAAAAAAAAATCTATTGCAACAATCCAGGTGAAAAGTGATGAGATCCTGAACAGAGATTGTAGCTGCTAAGAGTGGAGAGAAAGGGATGTATATAAGAGATTGTGAAATTTGTAGAAATGATAATGTAATGCATTTGTGTGTATGTGTGTTGCCCATTTAAGTTATGTGTGTTCACATGGATCTGTCTCTATGTGACTCACAGGAAGGCATATCTTTAGATATCTTTAAAGTCTCTTCCACCCATGCTCTTCCAAGGGAGAATTTGATTCCTGCCAGGAGGTGAGCAGGAGATTGTCACCATAAGGCTGGCCACTCTGCTTTTCTCAGAGAAGGGGTGTTGGGCTAGAGTTCTATCTGGCTCCCTAAATTTTACTCACTTAGGTTCACTGTGCTCCTGATCACTTCCTATAATAGGAGAGGAATGCCTCAAACTATTTATCCAAGGCTTGACTCCCTTTCCACCAAATGCCAATCATACAAAGACAACGCATGGTGAATAGTTAATAAACCTGTTTAAGCAAGCTGATAGAAAACGGAAATCAGAAAAATTACACAGATGAGAACATACCTGGCAATACGTAGAGTGAATGAGATCTCCCACTGGGAGTGAGATATCCTCACTCAACAGAGAGAGACACACACACACACACACAGAGATATAGACAGAAACAAAGAGACAGTGACAGAGAAAGAGGCAGACAGAGAAAGAAAGACAGAGACAGAGACAGAGGGAGAGACAGAAAGAGGCAGAGACAGAGAGAGACAAGACACAAAGAGATAGAGGGATAGAGACAGAGACAGAAAGAAACAGAGAGACACAGAAACAGAGACAGAGTGACAGAGAAAGAGGCAGACAGAGAGACAGAGTCAGAGACAGAGGCAGAGAAATGGAGAAAGAGACAGAGAGACAGAAACACAGGGACAGAGAGAAAGAAAGAGAGAGACAGGGAGAGAGGAAGACAGACAGAGACAGAGAGAAAGAGGCAGAGACACAGAAAGAAACAGAGACAGACAGAGAAACAGAGACAGAGACAGAAAGAGACAGAGAAATACAGAGATAAACAGAGACACAGAGAGGAGACAGAGACAGAAAGAGAGAAACAGAGACAGAGAGAGACAGAGACAGAGAGAGACAGAGACAGAGGCAGTAGAGATAACCTTATTATATACCTTTTGGTTATTACTTATCAAGTGAGACATAAAACAGGAAACCAGATGCTCCCCAAAGGTGCTTCCTGTTGCCATTCAAGATATCCAATGAAGAGAACAAGACAGAGATGTCCTAGAGGTGATGGGGTCTTCTGGATGCTCTTGCTTACAGTGACCTTGAGCTGATTGTATCAAGTCCTAGATGATGCTACTGTTTCCTGAGTGAATGACTGAATGAATTACCCTTCAGATTTCCCTCACCTGTTTTTAAATTCTGAGAAAGCTGTGTTTTAAGTAGCCAATTCCCTTTCCTCCTTTAGGTAGTAAAGTGCTAGGACTGGATTTAGGAAGACCTGTGTTCAAATTTGGCCTCAGACATTTACTAGCTGTTGTGATCCTGAGCAAGTCATTTAATTTCTTTCTGCCTCAGTTTTCTCAAATGTAAAATGGGAATAACAATAGCATCTACCTCTCCATATTGTTATGAAGATTAAATGAGATAATATTTATAAAGCAATTAACATAGTGTCTGGCATATAGTATGCCCTTAATAAATGTTTGTTCCTTTTATTTCAGTTTTTGAGTATTATTACAGAAGAAAACCTGTTGGTTTTCATATGTAGTAAATATCTAAACTTAATATAAAGTCGAAACATTATCTGATCACCTCTTTAGCCACAGAAGTAAATTTGCCATATTTTTTATGTAAAATTACTGGATAGTTTTTTAAGAGCCATCTTCACACAGATAAATCCCTACTCACTGCTAAAATTCATGATTTCACATAAAATTTCATGCAAAATATCAACTGTTGGCACAGCTTGGTATGACAATTTTATGCCTGGAACTTAAAAAAAATTAAAATCAGTTCAGCAGGAGATTGAAAATAAACCTTTCAATTTTTTTTTAAAGTAAGAAAAACCAAAGTCATAGGAAAATTGACTTATCTTATTTCCACGTACACATTTTTAATGTTGGTGTTTTAAGATAATTTTATATAGCATTTTTAAGATAATTTATATAGCAATTCATAGTTACAAAGTACTTTTTACATGTTATCTTACTGGATCCTTAAAACAACCCTGCAAGACAGGTTTGGTAGGTATTATTATCCCCATATTTCAGATAAAGATACTGAACTGAAAGAAGGTTAATTGATTTGCTCAAGGTCACTTAGAGTTGGGACTTGACCTCAGGCATTCCAATATCAAATAAATTATCCTTTCTGCCTCACCATGCAGCTTTTCCAAAAGTATTCTGGAAAATACTTTATGGAATCCCAAGTATAATTTAGAACAGAGATGCTAGACTCAAATAGGAACCCTTTGGGTAACATATTAACTTAGAAAACCACAAAATTAACATTATCTATGTTTTATTGTATTTTTACTTTTTTTGTTAAACATTTCCCAATTTCATTTTACTCTGGTTTGGTGGCCGGCTGCTTGTAGCCTAGGCTTTGAGTTAGACACCTCTAATTTAGACTGTCACAAGTAAACAAGTTAATAGTACTTTAATTGTGGTAACCTTTGTACTGACTGACTTGATTGTTCAATTGAAAGCAATATTTGTATTTGAATATAATATTTACATTATGTTTTTGTAATAGAGGACTGGCCAAGCCCAGCGCTTAGGGACATGTGTGTTGTGTGTAGCTGATACAATCACCGTGCAGACTTCAGAGCATGTGCAGGTCCTTTGACCACATCTTCTTACCATGGTAAGAATTCAGTACTGAATCATTCACCTCAGTAGCCTGGGCTGAACTGAATGAATTTAGAAAGCTTTCAAAGGGCACTAACTAGCCAAGCGTTTTCTTTTCCCAGACTGGCTGAGTCAGAGTTGAGGAGGCAAGAACTGCTGTAAGGACTCAGTGGGACAGTTTAGGCCTAAGGCCTTAATCTCCCTTCCCAGGTCACTATCAAGTGGCCTATGAGAAAATGGCCCTGCTGTTGTAGGTGTCATTGTTGGGTTGTTTGCTTTGTCCATCCTCATTTGTACTTCCTGGCTCTCCAGGCCTCCTTCAAGTTCCCCTAAAAACCCACTTTCGGTAGGAAGCTTTTCCCAGTTTCTGTTGGTTATTTCCTATTTATTCCATATATAGTTGTGGGGTTTTTTTGGGGGGGGATTTGGTGGTGGTTGTTTTTTTTTTTGTACATAGTTGTTTGTATGTTATTTCCCCTACTATATTATAAGCCTCTCAAGGTTAGGGACTATTTTTTGACTTTTTCTTGTATCTTCAGCACTTATCTCAATGCTTGCCTGGCCCATAGTAGGTGCTTAATAAAGGATTATTATTGTTCAGTCATGTCTGATTCTTTGTGATTCCATAAAGATACTGAAGTGGTTTGCCATTTCCTTCTCACTTTTTTTAACAGATGAGGAAACTGAGGTAAACAGGGTTAAGTGACTTGCCTTGAGTCACCCAGCTACTAAGTATCTGAGGTCAGATTTGAACTCAAGAAAATGAGGCTTCCGGATTCCAGGCCCAGACTCTGTGCACTATGGTACCACCTACCTGCCCTAAAAAATGACCGCGTCTACTCTTTTCTGTTCTCAGGTAAAAGAGTATCAGACTAAGCTATGACCCTGTGAACTTTGAAGGACGGGAAGAATGAGTTGCTAAAAGTTCGAGAACTATGTATGACTCAGGCCAAAGTTTGCAGGCCACAAGAACAGACCTGGGACCAAGCCTAGCAGTAGTTGACCTCTAAAGCCAACAAGAGGAAAGGACTTATCTATGTGCTATGCCATATTCAGAAGCAAATTTTGTAGGACAAATGCTTTGTAAAAGCATCCTCGATCCTCACTCCCTACCCTGTTCCAAAACCTGGGAATACAGTCTCCTTTTCCACCTTGATCTCTACATCACCTTTTTCCACCCCAGGAGGCTTACAAAAGTCTTTGCTTCCGACCTCAAATTCATCCAGGCAAAAAAGAGAAAATACCTTGGTTCATCGATGCCTTTTGACCCTCAGTTTTGGGTCAGCAGCCAATAGAAAAACTTCTGTTCTTCATAGGGTAAGCAGGCTGGAAACAATACCTGTGTCCACACGAGGACTGCATCAAGTAGGCAAGACTGTACATGCTAATAAGGGCTGTGATCGGCCAGTTCTCCAGTATACTCTTATCTATATTTTATAGGAAAGACATACAACTCCAATGGGTCAGAGTTCTAATGAGGACCTTTATGTTGTGTTATGTTGTATCTTTAAATAACAAAAGAACATCTTTTTTTTCTCCGTATTTTTTTCTCTGTACTAATACATGAAAGATTAGCAATTTTTACTGCATGTCATAAGAACTTCATCCTTGTACTGGGGAAGATTGGTCTACAGCTGATACACAAGGATATGGATCAAGGTGACCTTTGAGGGGAATTGAAGGGAAAGAGATAGTCAAAAAATCTCAGAATTGGAAGTCATCTTGTTCGACTCATATATGAACAAGATTCCCTTCTCCAGATCTCCAATAGTGATGGTGATCCAGTTTTCTTTGGAAGACCTCCATGGTGATGGAGTTGAGGAAACTATTACTTTCCAAAGCAGAACAATCTACATTTAGATAACTAAATTTGTTGAGAATGTTTTTCCCTATACAAAACATAAATCTACCTCTCTGCAACTTCTACACACTCTTCTTAATTATATCCTTAGGGTCCAAGAAGAGCAAGTGTAATTTCAAGTATTTGAAAGGCACATAGAAAAGAAATTTGAGCCCAGGTCTTCCTAATTCCAGACCCAGAATTCTATAGGTGGCATTCATATCAAATCTTCAGAGGACATAAATCTGGGAAGCACAACCAATGTGGCGAATGGTATAGGACATCAAAAGATCCCAACAGGCCAGAAAAATGAACTGAATCTAATAAGGCCCAATCATGACTCTAGGAAAGAGTTGTGATTTTTTTTTTTTCAAAGTGGGAACTCCCTAGTGAGTTGGCTGAGGCACAATCAGATTCACAGCAGGGATAAGTAGATTCAAAACAGGTGAGGAATAAGGTTTGGGACTCGAGCTGTATTTTCATAGATATAGGGGACTCCTAGATGAAGAAACCCCTTCTACCAATGCAGGAGAGCACCTTTTCTGCAACTTCCAGTCTTAGAGCTTTGCTTAGAATCCTCAGGTAAGGATTTCCCCAGGGTCACTGAAGGAGGGCGTAGCAAGTGGTAGTACTTGAACTCAGGTCTTTCTGGATTCAAGGTCAGCTCTTTATCCACCTCAAAAGCACGAGATAGGGAATGTATAGCTAGACAATAGTTCAAATGAAAACAACCAGAGATTTCCATGGGCTACAAGGTCAATAGTGTGACATTCATTTCCCTTTAATTTAATAAACATTAAGGGCCTATTATGTACACATAGTAGGTATCCACATATTCTGTGGATATCAAGACAAAAAAAGCAAAACAATGAAATGTTTTACATGATTATTCATGTATAACTTATATGTGATTGCTTACCATCTCAGGGAGGGGGAAGGGGAAGGATAGAATTTGGAACTCAAAACTTAAAAAAAACCCAATGTTAAAAAATTGTTTTAACATGTAATTGAGGAGAAAATTATATGTGTGTGTATATATATATATATATATATATATATATATTTTTTTTTTTTTAAGCAAAACAATGCCTGCCTTCTAGGAATTGTTCTACTAACCTCCCCCAACCTTCACTCCCAAAAAAACTAATTAAAAAGGCTGCCTTGAGAGGTTCAGTATCCAGAATGAAGGAGGTAATAGTCCCCTTGCATATTATTCTAGTTAATCTTGGGAACCTCATTTTAATAAAGACATCGACGAGCTGGAGAGTAATCAGAGGAAGAAAACATTTGGTTAGAGACCTTATGACCATGCCATAAGAGATTGGAGCCTGGCACAGGGATTTAGGACCATAAGATTAGTTGAAGGAACTGGGAATGTATAACCTAGAGAAGAAAACACTGAGAAGTGACCTGGTTTCATTATCCTAAAATGTCTTGACTCTGCTTGAGAGTGGGCAGCTAGGTGGTGCAGTGGTTAGAGCAGCAGCCGTGAGAGTCTGCAACACTCATCTTCCTGACTTCAAATCTGGCCTCAGACACGTACTAGCTGGGTGACCCTAAAAGTCACTTAACCCTGTTTATATTAGTTTCTTCATCTGTAAAATAAGCTGGAGGGGGAAATGGCAAATCACTCTAGTTTTTTGCTAAGAAAACTCCCAAAGGGGAAGGTTACAAGGAGTCAAACACAACTGAAAACAACTAAATAATAACAAATTATAGCAACTCACGTGGCCTGAAGAGAGGGTATATGAATGCGCTTCCTCACTTTTTTTGCAGAGGAAGGGAAAATGGGTTTGGAACACTGTATATACAATTGCTCTTAGTGGCATATATACTTAATTTTGTTAATATACTTTTACCCTCTGCCCCCGACTTCCCCTTTTCTTTTGTATTCTTTGTCATAAGGGGTGGTTCTCTGGGTAGTGGAGGAGGGATATTTTGGGAAGTAAAAGTGCTGTAAAACCAAAACATATTTATAAAAAAAAAATTAAAAGAAATTAAAAATGTTTAAAAAAGGACATTTTGTGTGTACTCTAGAGCAGGGTGATGGGAAGGGTTGGTTTAGAATAGCAAGATCTGCCACAAAACTTTGCTAGAGAAGTCATGAATCCCTGTGCCAGGCTGTAATCTGTGATGATTTATCCAGATGGACTTCTTGAGGTCATTGGGAAAAGTTCTTAGAATTGCTTCAGCCTAGGAAAGATTCCTTATGCTTGTACCAGTCCAAACCTGCAACTCTCGTGATTTGACAGAAGCAGACTGATTTTTTGGGGGGAGGAACATAGGTCCAGAAATTTTGCTTTAATATATTGAATGATTAGATCATGCCCTGTGCTAGGGAATGTGAGTAAAAAGACAAAATGAAATTGTCCCTGGCCTCAAGGAACATACATTCTACTCTAATGTGTCCTTAAAGGCATTAGACTAAGGCATTCCTGTTGGTGGGTTAACCCCAGGGTCCGGTCCTCAGCTTTGAAAGTGCAGAAACTTAATTTTATTAATTTAGTCAAATATGAAATATGATCAGGCTCCCATCCTCCCTTTCCCTCCACTGGATATGTGTATACATGTATCTGTATGTGTATATATGTTATTATGTTAAATATTTTAAAACTCTGAACTTAAACCTCTCAAAAGGAGGGGTTGTTCATCCTTCCTTCTCAAAGAGGACCAATATGTTTGGGTGCTTCCAAAAAGAGCATTTCAGATATAAAACACAAAGAAAGAGGATTCTCTATATATGAAACTGTGAATATTTATTTCATACTACTTACTTTAAAAAAGTATATAACAAACTAAGGCTACTTTCAAAGCTGTCCTGATTGTTTGTGCTTCCTTCTGAACTTCCTTTTGTTTTCTTCTGGACAGTTTTAAATGTGTTACAATTGTCTTTTTTTTTTTTAATCACCATTGCTAATCTTTTCTCTTTCCTGACTTTCCTCTCTTTGTTACTAGAAAGAAAGGAAGGAAGGAAGGAAGATAACCTTGTAACAAATAAGCAAAGTCAAGCAAAAAGATTCTACACAGTGGTCATGTCCAAAACTGTATTTTTTGCACCTTTATGTATATTACCTCTCTGTCAGGAGGTGGGTTTCATGCCTCATCATAGGCCTGCTGGAAAACATAGTTGGTCACAGCTTTGATCAGGATTCCTAAGTTTTTCAAAGTTTTTTTTTTAAAATAGTTTCATTGTCCTTGTATAAATTGTTCTCCTGCTTGTGCTTACTTCACTCTGTGTCAGTTCATATTAAGCAGGATTCTCTGAAATTCTTTTTATCATTTCTTACAGCACCATAATATTCTCTAGGGGGTATTTCAGTCTAAATAATGTAATCACCTAGATTTAAGGCACTGTCTCTTTTAGTGAGTGATACAGAGATATTGACAGATTCTTACTCTCCGTCTTTCCTTTTGGGGATCATAGCTTTAGAGCTAGAAGGTATCTTAGAGGACATCTAATCCAACCTCTTAATTTTACAGATTAGGAACATGATACCCAGAGAGGTCACATGTTTTGCCCAGGGTCACATAGGTAGTGACAGAGTCAGAACTTTAACTTAGCTCTTGTGACTCCAAATTCAGTGCACTTTACACTGTCCCATGCTCCTCTGAATCATAGGATTTGGGGAGTTGGAAGGAACCTTAGATATCACATAATCCAACCTCCTTTTACTTTATTGTCAAAGCAAGATTTTAGACTCTTCAAGGATTATCCATATTCTCCTTTTCATTTGCCATTACAACACACTCATAACATGCTATTTTCCCAGATTATAGTTTATTTTACCCTAATTGCATTTTAGGATAGCTATTTCCTGGGACCTTAATCCTATCAAAGAACAATTTCCAAATGACAATGTAGGATGGATTATTTCTGGGAAGGTCCCAGTGGAGGACTAATCCCACCCATTGTGTGTGGATTGTTGCTAGCTTCAATTCCAGAACCTGGTACTACTCACTGACCCAACATTTTGTGAGTTCAGCTTATTTGGGGTTGGAGTGGTAGGGGGTGGGGTGCAGTCCTCTACCCAGTAGCAACTAAGTATCAATCCCATCCATCTATCTATTTCACTTAAAAGGTCACTTTGAAAGGACTGAAGATCAACTTTGCTGCATGATTCTGTGACGTACCAGTGGTATGACATTAGCAGTCTATAATTATACTGTTTTTCTTTGGCTTTCTAACACATATGATTTTATACATATTTTTAAATTTTTTAAAGTTTTAATTTTTTTTAAGATTCATTAATTTATTTTTAGTTTTCAACATTCACTTCCACAAGATTTTGAGTTCCAAATTTAACACACATGGTTTTAATATTTTCAATAAGGTGTTATGTAACAGTTTAAATGTTTAAAAGGGGTGTGTGTGTCTGTGTGTGTGTGTGTATGTGTGTGTGTGTGTGTGTATCTGTAAGGCTAGTTTCAGAATTAGGAAAAATGTAGGTTCAACTTCTGTCTCTGATATACACTAGTTATATGACCTTGAGCAAACCACTTACATTTTCAGTGCCCTAGGTAGTACTCCATGACAATAAATTGAAGGAGTTTCACATCTGCATTAGTAGGAGTTTCCTTAAAAGGAGCTCCCTACACAGATGAAATCACAAGCTCAAACACATATGTATATGTAGACATGTGGATATGCATATACATACATACATACACATATCCATAATATTACCTTTGGATCCTCTAATGTTTTCCTTGTTAGGGAATGTTCACTAGTTGGTTAATTGGAAAATAACACCCTTTTGTTGTTGAGTGGTTTCACTGGTGTCTGACTCTTCCAGACCCCATTTGGGGTTTTCTTGGCAAAGATACTGGAGTGTTTTGCCATTTCCCTCTTCAGCTCATTTTACAAATGAGGAAAGTGAGGCAAACAGGGTTAAGTTACTTGACTGGGGTCACACATCTAAGTGAGTGCCTGAGGCCACATTTGAACTCAGGAAGATGAATCTTCGTGACTCTGTTCCCTCTATTCACTGCCACCAAGCCACCCCTAACATCCTAAGAGGCTTTTATTTCTTATAGGGTATCTCTGAAATCAGTTGACTAGCATTTTGAATGTACAAAAGAAATACTCTAGCCATATTTATGGGTAGCTACAAGTAGCTGAAGTTACTATTGTGTATTGTTGGGTAAAAAAAGCCCTAAGGGCCTTTGGGATGAAAATATTACATTGATAGATGACAGCCATGATCCTATTCAGCAAGGTATTATGATTGAAGGGTAATCTGGGTAAAACAATACCTATTGAGAGTTTATTACACAACCCATTACATTACAAAATGCTACAAGAAATACAAGTTGTTTATGGGTAAGGAGGAAAGGAGGAGGAAAGAAAAAGGATGGTAAAATTAACCATGTGCTAAAAACACCTTGTTCAAACTGTTAAATTATGCTTGCTGCCAACATAGGTAGAGTGGCAGCTATTTTAGCAGAAAGAATGCTGGGACTGGAAATTGGAAGAGCTGGCTTCTGGTCCTGGATCTAGCATTAGCTAGCTGTGTGACCTTGGAAAAATCACTTCAATTTTCTGTAACTCAATTTCCTCACTTGCAAAATAGTGATGATAACTGTACTGTCTAAAGCCCTACATAAGAAACAGAATGCCTTTTTCCTTCGAACTTGGGAAATTTGAACTCCCAACGGAACTGGTTTGAAGGACTGTCTCAAACACTGATAGTTTTTTATCTTAACTCGGGTTCCTTTTCTGTCCTAGACAGGGTTCTGGTTTCACACCTATTGAAAGATGTTAAATTTGCTAGCCACTCTTTTCTTGGGGGAAAAAAAATTCGATTTCTGAGGTACCTGAAGAAAAAAAACTTTTTTATCCCCTTTACTCCATGTTCTTTTAAAAAAAAGCATTCGGGCCCCTTAAAAAAATCAGCTCTGAGAAATTACTTCCTTAGCTTTTACCCACAGAGTCTCACCATCTCTGCCAAAAATACACCACCTGGAGAATGGGAACTTTGCACTGTGGGGGAAGGAAGAAGCAGTGGAAACGAAGAGAAGCCAGGGGAAAAGTGGTAGTGGTAGTGGTGGGGGTGGGGGGAGAAGTCACGTCCAGGCGGGGGCTTGGACAAAAGAATTTAGGACTCCTGGCTAATAATTGCAAAGCTCTCCGAGAACTTCAAAGTATGCCCTAGAGGCGACAGTGACCCAAGCTTACGAGAAGTGTAGCGGGAGGTAGAAGGAGGGGCCAGTCTTCCCGCATCGCTCGCGTCTGAGTTCGGTGAGCGGTGGGGACCTCCTGTCATTCACCCTGGCCGAATGTGTGCGCGTGCAAAGGAGAAAGGAGAGGCTGGCGCGTGTGCGGGAGCTGGGGGAGGGGGATGAGGAAAGAGAGCACAGAAAGAGAAGAGAAGAAAGAGGGAGAGGAAAGGAGAGGAGAGAAAGAAAGGGGGAGAGAAGAGGAGATAGAAAGAGGGAGAGGAGAAGCAGAGTAAGAGGGAGAGAAGTAGAGAGGTGGAGCGGAGAGACAGAAGGAGAGGAGAAGCAGAAAGAGGAATGGGAGAAGGGGGGGGAGTGGGGAGGAACCCGGTAGGAGAAGGGCTGGGGAGCGCTCTTCTTTTCTCCTCCCCCGTCTCGCTCCCCTCCCCCGGCTGAGCCCCAGCGTGCTGCAGCCATGGAGACACCTCTAATCCCCTCCTCCCGTCCCAACCCACCAGCCCCCACCGCAGCCGCGGATTGGTCGCCCTTTGCTCCCTGACCCCTCTCGGTGCTGATGTGGGCCGCTTCTTCCTGCTTTGGCAA